GTGTCCTTTGTTTATCCTACAGTGCCACACCAGGATTCCTTAACTATCTCAGTGGGAATAAAATGGTATCTCGCTAAAGAAGCAAAGCCAAGACTTCAGAAGCTTTTGGGGAAAATTCCAGTATCTTTTAAATCCATCTTTCCATGAACTTTTTGAAGTTTAAAAGATAAACACTGGACCCCTCAGCTCATTGGAAACCCTGCACAGGTTGGCTATGAGTTGGAACTGATCCGATGGCATTTAACAGCTACTGATGGATTTATTAAATCTCAAGGAAATGGTTATGCAGTTGTGGGGACTGATGAGTCCTAAATCCATGGGTCAGCCATCAGACTGGAGGCTACCGGGTGGCAGATGCTAGTGTACCCATAGTTGTCGGGTCAGATGACAGGGTGTTGGCTTGTAGTATTGTATTGTTATTAAGTGTTGTCGAGTCAGTTCCAACTCAGCTACCCAGTAAAGGGTTTTCTATGAGCGACTGGTGAGTTTGAACCACTGATCTTGTGGTTCAAACCAACCTTGATGTGAAAGATAGTTAATCCCAAAATCAGCAGGTCAGATGCCAGGCTGTTCGCTCAAGTCCCAAGGACTGGAGGTCAGATGATGACAAACCAGTGGCAGCACCACAGCAAAGGAGAGTGTTGTTAGGGCATTCATATGTGTTAGATGCAGGTGTGTAAGGGAATGGCTGGAGTACCGTACTGCATGACTCAGGAGATAGGTCACATGAATCCTGTCACATTAATATACAGAGGTTAGGATTGCATGTGTAATGTGGAGGATGATTACCTAATATCACAAAGTGAGGACAACCCCACCATACTGGACACCATGCCTCGCCCCGCTGACCCATCTCACTTTGATGGACTGTTACTTTGTTTAGTACCTTCATACTGACTTCTTGATGACTTATTTACGTAACAACTGTTCTAATGCTTTCATTCTCTTCCAGTTTCTAATCTGGCCTTCTGTTACTGAGAAAGAATATCAAGTTATCTGGTATGAGAGCCTAACTTCTTTCTCTTCTGACTTGAAATTTGGCTGCCATTTTGTCTTCTTTTTCTGTCCCCAAAGATGCCGTTTCTTCTTGATTTCAAGCTTAACTCCTTCACCCATACTGGTAATGTCATTCCGTCTCTGGAGTCTTTCTCCCTTTATCTGACTGCTTCCTCTCTGTTGGCTCTTTGCTCTCTGCTTGAATGTATTATACTTCCATACCGAATACTCCCCGTAACCTGGTAAGCTCTTGGCCTATCTGCTCCTTCTTTCACTGCCAAACCTTTCACACTGTGAAGTCTGACTCCTGTCTTCTCCCTAGGACCCACTTCTCGTCCTCAGGCCACTCCGCTCTCACAGACCTGTTACAGAAAGGCAGCAGATGACCCTCTGACTGCCATGGGCATTGAGAGCCCTGCCTTACTGAAACTCCCCAGGACCTTCCTCCCAGCAGTTTTCCTAATGCTGTGAGGGCTTCGTCCTCATAGTCCTATGACTCTTGTTTGGTTCTTGTTTATCTCCATGCAGATCACACCAGACCTCTAACACTAGCTCTTACCTCACGTTTTTATTTTTTAATGTTTTATTGTGAATTATATGATAGTTTACATGGGAGAACTTTACATTCATTCCATCATATATCATCTCACTGCCATGGTTCCAATCCCCTCCATGCATCCTCAACCACCCAAAGGGTATATCCCAGAAACCTGCCCCCTACACTTTTCCCTCCTCCCCCCAGTCTTC